GGGTTTAGGCTTAAGGGATTAGGGTTTAGGGACTGGGCTCTTGCTAAGGAATTCAGTGTAAGTTACCATAATCGGAGTCTATAGTAAATGCTATGGTTTCCTTACTATGGTAACCCTTGCAAGGATTGTAGGGCTTAGGATTCAAATCGCCAAGCCCTACCTATAATTACGCTGAGCCCTCATTCAAAGGCTTCTAGCTTCAAGGAGCTAAAGCTTTGCTGTCCGGAGGTGGTCACATGTCGACGTTTGTGCTTTTGCCAGCTGGTTCGGTAATCCTCAGCGACTTGGGTGGTTGTCAAAATAGGGTCCCTTTTTGGGTCTCTATTATAATACGGCACCTTCTACTTAGGGTACCCAAAAAGGGACCCTAATTTTGACAACCACCCACTTGTTGATCAAACTTTTCACCTGGAAGTCTAGATTCCTGGAAGGTGGTCGGGTCCTCCCCCGCAACCCCAACTTGGAGAGTCGGGGAACTTCGTAAGTAGGTAGTAAGCAGACTTATAAGTACCCACTAAAAGGGACCCTAATTGGGGTTATGGTACTTACAAGTCCCTAAAGTAGCCAGTTACTAAGTCCCCCGACCCTCCAAGAACCCTACAAGACAGCAGCTCAGGACCCCTTCATTATCGGGTATGATCCCTCAAACAGCGTAACTTTTTGGATCCCCGGGTACATCTTGAACAGGTTCATCGCTACTTGGAGGTTGACGGGTAGTTAGTTATAAGTAGGGTTATGAGTCCCTTAATGGGGGTTATCAGTATAGTCCCTACTTATACCCACTTATAACTCCATGAACCTCCAAGCAGGGCTGTTCAGGATTGGGGTGTATGATATTGGGGTCTCGAGGGATTTCGGGTTTTAGGGCTTATCGGTCTGGGGGGTTAGGGTTTAGAGTTCAGGATTTTAGGGTCTAAGGCGATGGGTTAAAGACTTGTGTATGGGTCTACGCTTCAGGGGTCTGGGGATGGAATGGACTTGGGCCCCTGTTTTGTTCGCTGCTCGCCTTAAACCCCAAACCCTATGTGCCAGAGGACCGCACCTACGTCCGCGGCGCGGCGGGCGTCACAGTGCGCCAGCTGGAAAGTCTTGTGAGGCCGGTCAGGGTCTGGAGTTTACTTGGAGGTTCAGGGTTTAAGGGTTTCGGGTTTTGTTTTATGGGTTATACGTTCAGTCCCTATAATACTCATAGTTAACCTACGCTGGAGGGTACTCTCATGGCGAGAAGGGTAGTATAGCGGCCTTAACAACTACCAATAGTACTCCCTGATTATACATATTGCATAATTTACCCCAAAACCCTATTCTAATTGTTAAGGCCCCTACGGTAGATGCAAAGCATCCTCTGCACTCGCAGACCCTGATACCCCAAACCTCAAACTTAAACCTGTTACCTCCAGAAGGTCCATCGCTAGTTGTGAGAAGGTCCCGAATAGGAACCCTTAAAGGATCCCTTTTAACCCTATAGACCCCTTATATAGAAGCTTTAGGGTTTGGGATCTGGGGTTTTGGGTATGGGGTGGGGCGGGCATCGCCATCTTTTCGGCGGGGTGCAATTTTCCAGGACGCGAGCAGTGAGCACAAGGGTCGGCAAGATGTGGGGCCAGCAGAGAATGTCCGAAATTCCAACACAAACAAGTCGAGGCAAGGCCCGGTATCCAACTGTTCAGCCCTAACCGTACACCGAAATCCACGTATGCCGAACCTTTCATCACCTCCTGAACTCTGCGTACGCAGTGTATACGTCTGTCTACTTTTTCCATATGCTACAGGATCCTCACGCTTATGTTTTGTTTATTATACATCGTTAACCCTACACTTGTTCTAAACCCTGAATCCTAAGCCCACCCTGAATTCCGAACCCAAGGCCCTCAGAATTCTGAAAGCTTCGACTGAATCCTAGCACGCCTGTAATCCTGACCGCGTCGTAGTACTACGGCTGATGATAGAAATCCTGCATCCCCTTCAGGACCCTAACCTATGGGGATTATGGTATATTCTTTATTCTGGGTAATGCAGGATTACATCATCAACCGCATGAGGGGTTTTAAGGTTCAAAAAAAAAGGCTTCAAAAGGGTTCTATAGGACCTAGGATCTTAGCCGTAGAGCACTTTCACCTGTGCGGGGTTCACGGCTGGTTCCCCTAGGTTAGGAAACTGGACAATATAAGGGCGACTATGATGCTACTATAATATAGGGGCCCTATGGGTTAGAATTAGAATAGGGTTTTGTGGTACATTATGCTATATCTACAATAAGGAGTCCCCAAAATAGTGTGGGAAGTCCAGTCGTCCGGAAAACCCTCGTAGATTGTAGCATCCAAACCCTCGAAGCCACCGGGTGGTTGTCAAAATTAGGGTCCCTTTTGGGGTACCCTAAATATTAGGTGCCGTAGTATATTAAGGACCCAAAAAGGGACCATAATTTTGACAACCACCCATATAAACCTCAAACCTGCAAGCCCTAAACCCCAAACCCTCAACCTCCAACCCTAAACCGTAAACCCCCCAAGCCTCACACCCCCAACCGTAAGCCGCAAAGCCTCCAACCGAAAGCCGCAAACCCTTAACGCAACCCCAAACCCTAAACCCTAAATGCCGGCATTGGTGGTCACGAGGATAATGTCGGGCTAGGGTGCAGGGTAGTAGTATAGTTTTCTTTTAAGGGTTCCAGAAGGGCTTTATATAGGCTGAGTTGTGGTGCTGGAAAAATGTTAGCAGGATTATGGGCAAGGGCATGCTTGTTCGTGCTTGCCGAGCGATGCTGACGAAGCCATCCTCGTTTTGGGAAGCCCAAGCGAGAGAGGTGCAGCGCCCTGCTTGAAGGTTGATCGGTAGTTATAAGTGGGACTATAAGTAGGGCAGTAGGGTAACTACACTTATAACCCATATCAGGCGACTTATAACCCTACTTATATCTACCCATGAACCCTACACCCTATACCTTTATGTGGCAAGGACCAATCTGTATTATGTGTGGAAACGGTTCCGTTTTGCTTGAGTATTCGCAACAGCATTGCGACACCCTATAGAAACTACCGATGAGCTCAAGGCCCAACATTATGTTGCACGTGCACTTGCTGCAGCGTGGGTCTTGGACTTCGTTGACTCCCTCGAGCAGGATGCGACCCAAGTCCAGCATGCCGTATGATCCGGCATTCCCAGGACAAGCTCCAGTCGCGAGCTTGGATTGTATCAAATATGACACCAACTGACGCACCATCCACCCACGCGTGAGGATTTGGTGTCGATATATTGTTCACCTCATCTCGAGCTTGATGATAATGGCGTTGTTCCAGTCCCTTCCAGGAAAGCAGGCGACACGTGATTCTTCTCTCGTGCTTGTTCATGTCTGCATTCTTTGTCTTGCACGACTGATTTTTGTCTTAGCTCACATTCTTGAGCCATAAGCGTTGCAGCTATGCGGAGCTTACACAGGTAGTGCTACCATGCGACCCGGGAACCGGAGTGGTGGGTGCTGCCTGTTCATGATACGTCTCATGGCTCTTGCGATCTTCCGAACTGGCGATTCTTCGATGTCCGCTCACAACCCAGGCCAACATGGATGTTCTCGTGTTTCTAGGTAACCTGGTCGTTCATCACGGCGCCGAGGACTCGCATCGCCATGGACATGATTCCCACGGACGAACCACTACTGCTTAAGAGGTGCTAGTCCACGAGTGCTTCGGACGGAGCTTTCCTCCTCCTCGCACCTCGCTCTGGCTCTGCCTCCAGTAGAACTGGCATGCTGCAACATGAAATCTATGTAAAGAGCTCTAGCGCCCAGCTGATGATTCACTATGTGCACTAGCCCATCTAGCCCACCGCCATCCCCTACAACCTCCGGGTTGGTACTAGCTAACATAGTCGTACTAGCCGAGTAACGACAGCGAGCTAACAACCAGTAGCGCACGACGACTCTCCTTTTTAATGGATGTGGCATAAACCCCTGTTAGTTTGGAGATTGTCGCTAGCCTTTGGCTAGCCCTCCCCAGGGTGGGTTGGGTGGGTACTTCAAAATTACCCCCCCAATGGGGGACTTTATCCAGAATGGCCACGGAAATGCACAAGGTTCCTCCTCGCCATTCCAAGTCGTGCTATCCATGTCTTGCAGACTGACACTCACAGCAAGAGCAATAGATAGCAATAGAAACTTCGTTTCTAGCCGAAACACCTGCGATGGTTTCGGTGTGAAGATTATCGGGCTAGCACACATAGTCGTAGCTCGTCGCCCGTCACGAGGTACGTCTTCTGCGATACTGCATGCGTGGCGCTTCTTGCTAGCTGCTAGCATGCGGAATTTTGCATGCGCAGAACCAGACCTGACTTTCTGACAACGAACTGGACATGGTGCTGCAGTAGGACGAAACTGATCCTGCTTGACTCAACTGGACCTTCATGAGGCCGTCTTCCCCATTTCACTGGTATCACAGGATGCGGCTGGCCTCCGGAACAACTGAACATCTTCCAAACGGGTGCCTTAAAACTTCCACTGGGCAGTGTTGGCACCACGCGATGAAGAAGGTGTAGCACACAATCAGGAAACAATCACACTGATAGGTGGACAAGTCACCCATACACCCTGTGGAGGTGAGCTGCAAACCCCCAGGACCCCATTACACCACACAGCGGGCTGAACCGTGGCTTGCAAGATGTTCCGATGTCAACGAAGGAGTGGACAACAAGCAAGTGTCAAGATGACTTTGCGCATGTGTAAGACAACCTGAAACAGGTCGCTATGGTAGATTACATGGCCAATGGCCAACTCAGGGCTCAGCAGCTCGTCGCGAAGTCAATCGTCGCGAGGTCAACTCTCACGCAAGGACACGTCAGCTCCTGACCAGGCAGTTCTTGCTTCCGAAAACGTGTCAGCTTCGGCTTGGTGCACGTGCCCATCTCGCCCCTAGGTCAAGCGGAGACAAGTAGAATCAGAAACAGCCTCAAGCTGAGTCGCTTTTGTGTCAGAGGGTCCCTGATGTAGACGAAAAGGTTGGGCTACTTCACCCGCTGCACATCACTTCGACGTGCACTCCACCTCGGCGCAGGCCGTCCTTGCGCTTTAAAGTGTGTGGGGTTCGTCGTCGGACCCGTGCCTTAGGCAGACGAGATCCTGTTCCGTGCTTTGCACGGGCGCACACAGCAGCTCTTTCTGAGCTGCGTGCTTTTTCGACTGGCAAGTCTGCTTTTTGCAGTTTGCCGTCGTCTTCCAAAAGGCTGCACCATGCTTTCCACTGCCCAGCGTTCCACAGACAGTAGCTGCTAGCGCGAGCCAAGACAATGGCCTGACTGAGTTGTCGGCTTGTTTGATGGTACATGGCCGCGTTATGTGAAATTAGCTTGCCGAGACGTAAGATCCTCAGCTTCATCTTGAGGCTGCTCTGGTGGATCTTCTGAGTCTCCCGAAACCATGAGTTGATCTCATGGTGCAGGGACTCGTTGCTGGCGGTTCCAGCCGGCAAGAGGTTCAAATAACTTCTTGGGAAAGAATGACGCAGCCTGATGTTGTTGAAGTACCACTCACTCCTGTCTGCGGCAGAGGCAGTGTGCAACAGCTGCCAGATTCGGCGGTTAGGGCCTGGGGCAAGTCTGTCGGCTTCTTGCCTGTGCGCAGAAACGACTGCAGCCAGCATCTGCACCCATTCGGCGCGGGAATAGAAGGGAGTGGTGGGGTCGAGGCTCTCTAAAAGCCTGACAGCGTCTGCCTGCCGCATGGAGCGGTCCTCGATCTGGTTACGAAACTTGATTTCCGCTGCTGTCAGTGGTGGACTGTTGCGGCCATCAAAAAATTTTCCCCATGCACCTGCATCCAACGTCGAATCCACGGCTGTGAACTTGCACAGCATACGTCTCAGGACTCTCGTGAACCCGGTGCGCCTTCTTGACGAGGCATATTCACACGTCATTGCAAGATGGACAGGATCAAGTGCCATGAGTTGAAGATTGGGGCATATGGTCTTGAGTGTGAGTAAGTAGTGCCGAGATGGGTTGTCGACACTCACATACTGGACCTGGCGTAAGCCCTCTGCAGGAAGCCCTTCACTAAGCACCTGTGCACAAGTCTGAGCATCGTCAGACTGGCAGGCCATCATGAGGAGTGTCGCATTGGTGCGACCGCGAACAGTGAAAACCTTCGCTTGAATGAACGAGTTCACAGATGTGATTAGGGGAGTTTGAGGCCTTGGAGGGTTTATAATCAACATACTGCTGTTTGAATCGGGGCACTCTGCGCAGCATGCTTTCCTCGTCAAACGCAGCCTGCACTGCCTCGCGGCTGGAGCGGCGCCGTTTCGGCTGACCCAGCACAGACAGGCAGCAGCGGAGCGTGGCGTCGATGCTGAGGCACAAGCATTCTTTGTGTCCAATGGCCTCCCGCAGTAAGTTTGCTTCCATGTCGATCACTGCAGAGGAAGTGAAGATATCCTCCAGCACGGGCCACCAATCCTTGGCGTGGCTTGGCAGAAGGCTGGCAGCATCTCCATGGACACGTGTGTGCAAGGCTGCCATGATGGCGTGGACCTGCCAGGGGGCCTTTATGAGTACACGGCACAGAGGACAGGACCCCAAGACCCGAGCCTTAGCATTCTGGACCAACGTTTGCTGGAAGAGCATCTGCGCAAAGTCGACACTGTAGTAGATATTGCGTGCCCTACGCAGTGGCGCCTGCAGCACGGCAGTCAAGTTCCAGTACTCCGGCCCGGAGCCTGTCAGGACCAATCTGATGTAGCGGTCGATCTGGTTGATCGAGCGTTCCAGTGCAGGTGAAACAGTCTGGCGAATGAGGGTTGCTGAACGCTGCAGCAAGTCGGGCCGCTCCTCGCGGCCAAGTAGGCGGTCGTTGTCGTAGATGCTGATCAGCAACTTCATCTGTTTGGTGCCGCTGGGACAGAATTGCCTCGGCCCGTCGTGGTAATTCCGGACATGCTTATAAAGTCTGCTGGGATTGCTGCTGCGAAAACCTCGGAAAGGGCAGAGGGGACAGACCAGCATCGCATTATCCTCAATCGGAAAAGGCTTGATGCGCTTGGCGAGCACGGCCCCCACTTCCTGCCTCAGTAACTCCAGGATACGGTCACCTGCTCGGCACATAGACTCGTCTTCCTCTGCGAACAGCTCCGAGTCTGTTTCGCTTCCGCAACATACGATGGGCCGGGCACTGCTGGACTCAGAGCCTGCTGCTGCCTGCAGCTCCAATAGGCGACGTCTCTCCTTGAAGTTTGGCTGCAACGGCACCTCCTCGATCTTCGGGCCACCGACCTGAAACAAAACCAGATACAGGCGGTCGACGGATGTCGTCCACGCCTTCAAGACCTGATCCCTTTCAACAGAGATGTGCTGCTTTCGGTCACGAACTTGCCAGAGGTCAGTTCCATCTGCAACCAGAGCGATGCAATGAGGCCGATCATCACTGACACAGTGCAGCAAATACTTGCCACACAAAGAAACGCTCGACAAGTTGCTTGAAATTTCAACTGGCTCGATTGAGATCTGCAGGGCCTCGTGCAGCTGCTCATAGGTGCGATGCTTCCTGCGATTGAAATAGTGGGCGTGCTCGGTATCAGCTGCTTTCACGAAAGCCAGGGCCTCGTCTACGTAACCCAAATGATGCAGGGCTAGTGGGATGCAGTTACCATCGGAAAGAAGCTCGTCCGGCACATCGACACTGGCATCCAGGACAGTCCCAGTGTCGAGTAGAACCTGCAGGAAGTGTTTGTGCATTTTCGCTCTGACGTCCACGCGAAAGCCAGTCTTCTCTTCGATGGCAGCATTGCAGCCTCGGCAGAACTCTGTCAGATCTGGTCCTGTCACGGATCTGCTGACACGGAGTCCATCGAAATGCAAGCTAACGTGACATGGCTGGAGCGTCTGAAGATGCTCCAGCCAGGGATCCAGCAACATGTCCTCGACAGCGCTCCATAAATAAAAGAGGCAAGACGAGTCTGGGTGAGGTCGATCAGCAGAGGCGTGCTCAAACACTTCCGGCAGCAACGAAGCAGCGAGCCACCTGCAGAACGCGGATGCCCTTTGCACCTTCAGAACAAACTCGTTCCTGAAGAACTCCTCAGGGGGCAAGCCACCATTGAAAATCTTGATCAGCATAAGCTTGCCGGCCTCAGGCACAGTTTTCAACTTGTGGCGGATCACCAAATCTCGGTCTTCGGCACATTCACGCAAGGTCTCACGCACCGCAGTCCATTGCGAGTGGAGTGGCTCGAGCTTGTCCAGGATCTGAAGCAGTAAAACGAAACAACAGTTCGTTATGTCCAAGTCCACTGTGTCTGAAGCGACATAGGTCTGCCAGACACGCGCAAGCTTCTGACAGGAAAACCCGGTGGCATAGCGGCGGGTTCTGAGTAAATTTCCGAGCTTTTGGTCGTATGTAACTTGTAGGGGCACAACCGGCATGCTGTTGAAAGGGTTGCGCAAAGGATCAGCATCTTCTTGCGAGGGGGCTGGTGCGGAGGATCTCGGTGGCTTCGATGGGCTAGAAGCCTTTTTGCGAAGGCGTTTGGCCGGTCTGGACCGGTCGTGTTTCTGCAGATGCTCCATCAATGCTGCTGCCTCGTCCTCTCGATCACGCAGCTTGTCCAGTCTTTCCTGCCAAACGGAAATCGCAGCCTTCTCGTGGTCACTCTTTTTTCCTCTCTTGCTTGAGAGGCGTGAGATCACGTCCTGATAGAACTGCTGAAGAATCTGGGCATTGCTGTCTCTCATTGGGCACGCACACAGGGCCGTCCAAAACCCATGCGCTTGCAGAGACTCCGTAAGGATGGTTCGTGACTCGGGCACACTTAGCGAGCCCAGGCAAGCAAGATCTTGCTTGCAAAAGAGCTTGGGAAAGTAATGGATTATGCCATCCTTCGTTTTACCCAGTGGCAAGAGGTACTTCCGCTCCAATAGCACGGTCCACACTTCTGCTGCTTGAGCATCTCGAATGCCTATCTTGGCCTGAGCTGTTTGGACGGAAAAAATCCAAGGCAGTGGCTCTATATGCACTGTGCTACACAGCTATACTAGCTTCTGTGTAATCAGCTAGACAAAAGCTTTACGTCAGGCTAAGTGGCTGGTGCAAACCGTTTCCACCACAACGAAGTGATCTTTGTCTGTCGGCCTGCGTCACTGAGCATGAAACTTCCAAGCTTGTCCAGGTAGCCTTGAAGTACATCATCAGCAGAGCTTGGGGTCGACTTATCCGTCCCTTGAGGTGGGGCAACGGATGCGGCGGCCTGCTTGAGTTCTGCTGGCGCAGCTTTTTCAGTCTGTGGAAGAAGACCGCAGGCGTTCCTCATCTTACGCTCAGTGCATCCAGAAGCAGCGTAAGCCTCGATCATTTTGCGGCACACATCACGGCTATGCCGCCTTTCAAAACCAAGCTGCTGATGAAGAGAGGCAGCAATGGCAGGCCCTGACTCTAGAAACTCGCGGAGACACGGGTCTTTGGGAAATATACCGTCTGGCGCAGCATCTGGATAACTCTTGTCGAGAAACTCTTTGTCCATGAAGACAGACTGCGGGTTCCATACCAAGCTACGCCGCAGGACAGAATTGAAATTGGATTCTGCCACCCCTTTGAACGTCATGAGGGCATTCGTTTCGATCCGCTTCCAGCCGGTAATTCGAAGCATGCGAGTCACGTAGCCATAGGGCTTGCGACCGGCCAAGTCGTCGGCACTTATCATCTTCTTGTACAAGTCTTCACGGAACGTCTTGTTCGACTCCGGCTTTTCTTGCGCTGTGATGATAAATGACGTGGCAAAGGACTCGATCTGCTTGCGAAGCTCGTCTTCATTGTGCCACAGATTAGGGTCGATGAAGGCATGGTTGTGCTTATAGACTGCAGCGAGATGGCTGCTGTACAAGCTCTGGCCCGTGCCTCCTGCGCTCTCGCCGATGAAACAGCGGTCCACATTCTCGCCCCTTTTCGCCAGCGCTTGTGCTGCGAGACAGCAGCCGAAGAAGTCTTCATTGCACCAGAATGTCTGGCGAACGAAAAGTTCGAAACGCTCCTGGGCAACTCTAAGAACAGGATCTCTGAGAGCATGTGGAATGCGGATGTAAATATTGTTCGACGGACTGGGGTCCACGAAAGTGCAAATCTCATCCGGAGATCTGTCGTACAAGAGACATGCATCTGCGAAAGCCACTCCAGCTTGTCTGCTCGAAGGAGTCTCACACCATTCAACTACAAACTGCAGAAGGCGTCGCTCATCCAGCAAGTCTCTCTGCAAGGGCCCTGCAATTTTCGAAATCATGTTCGCAACGACACCAGGCCAGCCATCTGCAGGGTTGGGAGCTTCATCCTCCTGCTGCCTAGATCTGGTTGCTGCAGCTCTTCCCGGTCGCTCCGGCGGGTACAACGCCGCATCTTGGCATGCGTCGAAGTATTCGGCCTCGTGGTTGTACTGCTGCAGAGTTTGAGCGATGCCATTCAACACGGCGACATCGGAACGCCCAGTGCTGGGGCTCAGGATACGAAACATACCCTCCAAAGTCAGAAGGAACGGCTTCACGCGAGCAAAGGTGGACTCAGGAGGTATTCCTCTGAAGGCTTCAAAAGCACCATGCTCGTGGTAGAGATAGCAGGTGGAATTGTGAGAACGCAAGTAGCGCTCGCCCTCCATGATCCAGAGGAGGGCCACGTAGTCCCGCACAAAGAGATCCTGGTACCGTGTTCGGTAAACTGTCAAGCCTGCTGCAGCTGCACGTACCAACATGTCCGACCAGGTGGGCTGGCGCTCTTTCACGAACCCAAGTAGATAAGCTGTGTGTTGCAGAACAGTCCTTTGTCTCGGCGCAGGCTGATGGGGAGGTATTTCTGGGAATGCACCAGCTGTGGCTGCAGACAACTCCCCGAACATGTCGTCGAAGGCACTGCTGGTTTTCATTGCGGCCGGGGTGAGTCTTCTGCGCTTCGTGAGACTCTGCAGATCCTGCAGCTCGTGCTGGTCAGCTGTCTCTGGCTTCGCTGCTTGGGCCGATTCTGGGTCCAACTGGCCACTTGCCACTCGTACTTCCGAGACTTGCGTATTGTCTGCAAGGGCAAGTGCAACTGACTCGTCCAGCTCCAGCTGGATCCGTTCGTCCAAAGATGTTTGGGAAATTGCAAGGGGTCCAATCGCTCCTTCGCTCCCGCCTTCGACCTCCTCCCAACTGTGACAGGCCTGAGTTTCATCTGGCACAGACAAGCTGTAAGGCTCACTTGCGCGCGAACGATGCTTTTGCAGAGCTTCACTTCGAAGTCGCTGCTCTGTCGCTGCCTGGGCTGCCGACCGATCCAGTTGCTCTCGCGCCAGCTGGAGCTGAAGCTCTAGAGAATACTCTAAAGCCAGCTGACGCCAGACCGTGCCATCTGGCATGTCCTTCGGGTGAGGAAGGTCGTCCAACAGACCCTTGTGATCAGATGATGATAAATCCTCCGAGAGGGCGTGAAGGAACCTGAAGAGCAATAGATCTTTCTGCTGATCTAGAAAATCAATAATAGCTCTTCCGCGGTACATTACCTTCTCCCACAAGCGTTTCGACAGGCTGCCTTTTGCAGCAGGGTCCGGCAGCAGCTTGACAGCTAAGGGATTCTGCTCCAAGAACTTGGCATGGCGCCGAACAGTCTTGCGGACAACACATGAAAACTTATCAGCTTCTTCTTCCAGTGTGAAAACTGTCTGGAAGAAGTTGGTTGCATCTGCATAAGGCTGCACATGGCTTCCACCGATGTAGTCCGTGAGCTGGTTTGGACAATACGGGCATAGACGCCAAGGCGTCTGGCCACAGTGACTCACGCAAATCCAACAGTCACACAGAGGGCACACTGCCCATCGCGGCATCCGAAGACCTGTGTGCTCCCTCTGGCACAAAGCGCACCTGATAGTGGGATCCAGCCGCACATAAGAGGGCACTGGTCGGAAGCTTGCCATCTGAGGGAACGGGCGTGGCCTCACATGGATCCACGTGAAAACGCGGGCCAGCGGAGACACAGCGTCAGCAGCACCATCACGCAGACGAGCGACGGAAACGCCTCTCTCGTCAATCGACAACTCGAGCATTCTCTGATCCCACCGGAGACGGATACGATGAGTTCGGCCAGGAAGGAGCTGGCAGCGATTGCGTCCACCATGAGGTTGAGGAGGCATGTCATCTAAGGCAAACGAGACTGTGCAATCTTGTCTGAAAACATTGTCGATCCGGCAATAAGATCGCTTCGTGCCCCGCCATTCTTGCACACCCATGTAAAGCCCCACGGCGTGATCTGGAAGCACCAGGTCAAAGGTGGCGCATCCCATGAGAGGTCGGTCCGAAATAAAACCAGACACGCCCTGTCTGACAAGCCCAGCCGGACGAGCCACAGACGCTGTCCAGTCGAGTAGCATACGCTCAGGAAAGACATGAAACATTGCCAGTTGTCGGACGTTGACGAGGCACAAACGAGCCGCGCTGTAAAAGTAGACCATCCTGCGCAAGGCCTGCGTGCTTTCGAACTCGTCTGTGTTCAAGAAGATACGACTGTTTCTCCAATGCTCACGATCCCGAACTGATCGGCACATTTCCGGTGAGACACATGCTAATGTCCGAAGATACTCAAAGGAGAAGAAAAACCCTGGCAGTCTCTCCACCAGTTCCTGGGGAAGCCTTCCTCCTGTGTAGTTCAGTCTTTGCGCTGCCAACCTCTGCTCAGCACGTTCAAAGCAATCTGGTGGAGCCACTCCTGCTCGTCCGCTGGAGGAAGACATGACAATGGATTCTGCTGACGATCTCTCACCGCTAGACCCTCCTGCTGTCTCGAGGAACACACGGTGCTCCCTCATCATGGCAGCCACCTCTGAAGCCATGTCGGGGACGGTGTCAACGAAGGGTCCACCAACAGCATTGTCCGGGTGCAAGCACACCACATACATGGCACTGACCCGCCAACCGTAGTGCTTCTCCACCTGAGCGAAGATCGAAAAGACTCAAGAGACACGACCGAAACAACATGCAGCTGCTATCGTCGTGAGCTACAGCATCTGTGTCTGTCACTTCTTTTCTCTGGTGCCTACTGGCCTACTGCTAGTTCGTTCAAGCTGCAATGTATTTGTACACATTGAGTTGCAAGCGATAGTGGTTACCTGCGCAGTCATCCAGATGCTGGAGGGGACGTCTCATTCTCTGCCAACAGTTCTCGTACTTGGAGCGAAGGGACTTGCTACGCTTCCAGTCAATCAGCACAAGTGTCCCATCTTGCGCCTCACCGGCAAAGTCGATGCACCCCGCTAGGCCATCACATTCCGAATACACACACCACTCTGTGCGATACGCGTACAGCCTCGGAGCACTTGGCAAATACTGTCGGAAAAGCAGCATCTCCTCCGATTGCTGCAGAACTTCACCACCGTTCAGCAAGCATTCGATTTGCAGGTGCATCCAGGTGCCTGCTGCACTGGCAGCTGAAGCATTCCGCTTCCAGTGAGCTTTGATTTCTTGGGGCAACATAGGCTCCAAATGACCGTTCACGTCCTTCATGTACTGAGCACGAGGCCAGTTGCGCCCTTGCATCATTCTGGAGATCACGGAATCAGCATCAAAATCCTGCGCGAACCTATGCACGAGGCCCGTGACGGAGCATGCAGCCTCCTTTCCACGCATGATATAGGTGTGTGTCTCAGATATAAACACAATGTCACGATCACGAGGATGTGGATGGACATCTCGCAAAAGAGTGCACTCCAGGCCTGGTACTTGAAAGTTTTCGAAGTCACTCGGGCAATCGGATAGCAGAGGCAGTTCCGTCGCGACTGCCCTCCTCGGAGGAGTTGGGAAACATGAACATGTGAAGGTACACACCAAGCTGCTGTACACATGCATTGCGGCACTGCGGCAGCATGATAGAACTGTTGCTAGATCTGCTATCAAGGAGCGGTAGAGGAAGACGTATCTGAGAAGTCTGTGAGCCATAGCTCGGACAACAGAGAGGCGACATTCCAACTGTCCACCGATCCAAAGAAAGCAGCTGTGGCTGAAGACGATGCTTCTTGTGCATAGCTTCTGCGCGGTGTCGACTAAGTCGGACCCACTTCGCTGCGTCCAAAGCCGCGCCTAAGTCCTGGCGACTCGCCCCTCCGGAGTGTTCGACGACGTGCGGCAAAGATCCTGAGTGCATGTTTAATTCCTTCTTACCGGGAAGGGGCAGCCTCAACAAGGAGGTATGCGGCATACACGTGTGTGCGCGTGTACGTCTGTGTGCTGTCACGTCACACAGATAAAAAAATGATTTTGTGCACGCACGAGAGTACTTCTCACATCATGCCGCCGCAGCCCCACGGAACAAATCCTCCAAGAGAACTGACAGCCAAGTGGCGATCTGAGCCGCCGACATAGTCCATAAGCTGGTTCGGACAGCGAGGACAGAGCCGTGCCCTGTCCCGACGTGCTCGTTGATACCAATCCGGTCTTGGGTCCCAAAATCCATCATCTGAGCTTTCGGTGTCACTTGTCCCGAGGCAGTGGTCCACCAGCAGCGGTCCCTCGGGCGGGGCGTCTGCAGACTCACGTGCTGCTTCCCAGAATCCACCGTCTGAGTCTTCCACGTTGTTATTGGCGCCGAGTCGTTCTGCAGACCATGTTTCCGCAGATATCGGGACAGGCTCTGCAAGGTTTTCAGTTTCGGGGTTGTAGAATTGCATTTCCTCCCAGGAGCGGATAATGTCATCTGCGCACGTCTCACACGCCTTGCCCCCAGAGCAACCTGGCAATGATGCGTCACCATGCCCATGAACATCCACAACCTCGAAGACATAATCCAGACTTGATGGGTCGATGAACACTTTGCCAGTGCTGGCATCACGGGAGAGACATCGTCCCATTACGCATCGGCTCACCCCTGCCGGCTCCCATTTGTGAGTGCGATGGGTCTGATTTACGAAGAGACCGTCATCTGTGTGCCGCCCGGCCACGAAGTGCCCGGCGAAAGCGAAAATGTAGTCACCCTGCCATCGCACGAAATCGCTCCAGCATGAGAGCCGAATGGATTTCCTGATCAGGCCCGGCCCTACCCGCAAAGCCTAAAGCAAATCAGAACTCAGGACTCGACAAGACATGAGGCTAAGGCTAGGTGGCGAGCAGTACGTACCGACGGCTTAAACCATGCACCAGCAGGTGTCTTGCCCGAGGCACTCGTGCTGCTGCAACCACTGGTTCCCTTGTTTGATACTGAAAGGCCCATCGGAGTGATATTGCAGCTTCACCCCCAGCGCTCTGCAGCTGTCGATCAAACAACAGTTCTCAAAGTGGCGCCTGGTGCGCTGCCGGAATCCCGGCGCATCATCCCTGGGGTGCAAGACATTCATCTTCGCACACTTCGGAGGCTTTGGGGTGCGTGTGCGAAGGGTGCTTGTCTTCGAATAGGAGCGGAAGCCTTTGTACCAGGCGGCACGGGAAATGCCCCGGTGCGGCCAAGGTTGCCGCAACTGGTTGCGGGAGTGAGCCCGAGCACGAATGGCTGGCAGTAGACGCAACATGAACTTGTCACCTGAGATGTTCTGTGCAGGAGAAAATGTCATTCCGAATGAACGAATCGACACTCGAAGCTGGAAAACACTCCTATAGATAGAAGCCGGGAGGCTCCAGTTGCATGTCTGCCACAGTCCGGGGCTCTCGCATCTGCATGTGTGCCTCTTACCGAAATGAACGTTCGTCCCTCGGCAGCACATGTTCGTCCGACGTGCTGATGAACTTGGACTTTCGCGAAACAACCCTTGAAATGTGTGCCATTGTGTACACTTGCACTGATCCTTCTGAGGTCAGCGCACGCTGGCATCGTTGGCTCTGGTGTGTCCAGGACCCAGAAAGGCTGCACATCCGACACCAGGCGATCCCAGATGGGAGCCATGAAATAATCGCCTCAGCAGCAAATACACATCGCAGATACAACGCCAACCCACGGCTTGCTGCCAAGAGTCACCAGGGAATGGAATGCTCCACGCCTTCGAAATTTGGCGGTACCCATGCGTGTCCCAGCCACACGCAGCCGTGCTCGTCTGCTACAAAGGGCCTACCACAGGCTGCAAGATACGAGAGAAATCTGCAAGGCAAAAGTCTGAGGTCCTCGCGTCCACTCGAAAGAGTTCTCGAACATGTGATTACCGCTGGTCCTTAGCGCTGGCACACAGTGAAGTCACCTTCACCATCCTGAATGGATCTATGCCAGGCCAGGCTCTGATCCAGTGCCTCCTCGTAAGGCTGCGCATCTGGCCTCTTGCAGATGTGGCGTGTGCCTATATACGTGTGAGCGCGAACGCGCAATGAGCTGATGCGAACTTCAGTAGAGGAGCAGCTCCACAGGCGCCGGAGGATTCACAGTGTTCAAGCTCACCCCAAGCCTGTCACGATTCAAGCTTTTCTTCTCTAGAATGATCAGACGAAGAACGATGAACTTGCCATATGTACACCATGTACCTCCTTCGTCGACGAGGGCCACGATTCTTGCACTTGTTCCCCCGGAGTTCTTCCTTCCGTCGATAGCCTTCTGGGCCAGCTCCAAGCTTCCAGCGGCGGGGGGGGCCATCATACGACTCGATTTTGACCTTACGAGTCCTACCACCGAAATGTGGCTTGAGCACCAGACCTCTGGATCTCCTGGCGTTCCTACGCAACGAGAGATCAAGAAGCGCTAGAGGCATGAGTTTCGCCCAGAGATGCACATTCTCGGCTGTACGGAGTGGGTGCATTTGGATCTGGTCATTGGTCACCAGAGCAAGCCTGGAGGCCTTGGTGGAAGCCACCACGTCCTTCTTGGCGCTCCCAAGCTTTGAAGCTTCGAAGGATCCGAAGATGTGGTGCAATAAGACGTACCGACCGAATGCAGTCTCGCACACTTGGAGGTTCAAGTCCGCGATCGGGTCCCACACCAATACCATTGTGTTGCTGGGAAGCAGAATGAGCACAGGCGTGGAGATGATGATTGTAAAGCACTTGAGATCTAGAAAGCTGCGGTCATTGTGTTTGTTTCACCGTGAGCATGCCGCTTGTGAGCATGCTGTGAAGAGGCCAGCAGTGCAGTCACTCACCGGCCTTCGCATCGTATACGTACATCCCCATGGGTGCCTCGGTCATAGCCAAAAATCACGGAAAGTGGTCAACACGGCACACGAGCTCTTGGCACATGGGAGGGCAGTGCCTTCCATGATCCCGTGACGCATAAGTCACCCGTCCTCGCACCGTCTGACTGAGACTCGTACGGCTTGTTTGGCAAACTGATTGATTGTCTGCACACAGGCAGCAACGCAAGCTGGTAGAAAGACGCATCGTAATGCAACGCACTGCCTTCGGAAGGAATTCCTACGACTTGCAGCAAACTGAGTTGCTGGGCCCGGCCAACATGCCAGGGATCGAGGCTGACCAATGTGTGTGTTGGGCTGCTGGGGGTTGGTGTCGGTCAGCCTACGCTTCCCGGAACTACTGCCAGTGCCCGCGAGAGCTGACACACGCTCGCATATTCTTCCGGAAGTCGGACGATCTCCAACTGCGTCTCCTCCGGCGGCGAGCCCTTCGATGAATCTGTTCATGCATTGATCCATTAGGATCTCTGGCAACCACAAGAGTCCGCCACTGTAGAGTCTAGACAGAACGAGACAGACCGTCCATCTACTGTGAGCATATGATTACACTTCGGATGAAACTTCATCGGTTTCTTACTGTGCAGGAACGATCGGGCCCAGCTCACGCCACATCGAAACCAAGTAAACCAGATCGTCGGACAAGCAAGTCAGTTGCGCCTGCCGGAGCAGAGTGTCAACACAGAAGTCTCGTGTTCCGAAGGTCAGCTCGCCCAGGTTCTCTTGACACGCAAAGTCGCCAACTCCCTGCTGTTTATTTAATCGCAAAGGTGCTGCGCGAGCGAAGGCGTGCCGCAGCTGTGAGACAGGAATATTGCTGGGCAAGGTGGCGCCGAGCTCAAGCCGTCCAAATTGGTTGGGAGAGAGTGCGGTGCAAAGCAAAGTCTTCAACGTTCAAGCTTCGTGTCGAATCAAAAAGCAAACGCATGACTCGCGAGCGTTGTCCATTGATTTCCCTCTGCTTTCGAAACGACTTGTGAAAAGTCTTCGAGAGATTCGAGCTCCAAAACACATCTGTAGTTTTCGGAGCTTCGTTGAGTCTGGGAGGGCGGACAAATTCCGACGTCAACCACGAAATTGCTTATTGGGTTTGGGCTCCCGTGAGCTTGTTTATGTCTCGTGCAAAGGAAGCAAAGGAACCCACTTAACTGACTGACTTAACTCTCGGTCACCAAGCAGCGGTGCAATCAACTGAGTATCGAAGCAGCCAGGGCAACAGCGATGGTACAGCAATGGCGGTGCAAGAGATCGATACAGAGTTAAGGTCGTTAGGTTAACTGCACAGCCCCGGGCCCGGTCCAGAATGCCCTTTTCTCTCTGGACCTATGGCTGGGCTGCACTTGAGTAGAGCCAGTCTTGAGCAATCAAGCTGCGAAGTGAAACAAAGCGGTAAGAGGCACAACAGACTGACAGGTGCACATGTAGATTACTCCCTGACAACGATTATCTCACACAGAGAACCATAAATCCTTGGTGCATTTTCCACCTGCTTCCGCAACCGCAACGGTGGCGTAAGTCTGCGTATCGATCGAT